CTCCAGCCTGCACTGACAGCCCCTTTGATTTTACTGCACTGTTTGAGACCAATGAGGGACAGCTGCTCCCCCTGCGCATTAAAACCTTCTCACCCTCTGCAGCCTGTATCTTGCAGGCACTTCCTTCACTCTAGCCTTTTCAAAGCTTTGACTGCTTTCAAAAATGTGCACAGGGCAATTCCAAGTGCAAGGTGCATCTGCTCTGTCTCTGACAGTTGCGCTTTTCCTGTGGATTTGCAGTATTAATCAGACTTTTCCTTGTTTTTTTCTCAAGACTGAATGGTTTCATACAATCAAAAAGCGCCAAAGTCTTACAGAAAGCAAAGCTGACTGTTTTAATAGCAACTTCAGCTTACAGTTTGGCTGCGTATCAACATGCTTTATGAAGATGCCCTCCATCTTAAAATAAAGACACCAGGTATGACGATGTAACTCAAGTGTTTGATGGGCCTCATACAGCTCTCTACCTTCCATTCAAACCCACTCACACTCTTGCACACAGTTTTTAAGACCCAGACAAGGATGCCTAGCTTTCCATTAGCAAGCTATTAGTTCATAGCAGCAGTCCAAACAAAGGGAACAAACTATTTCAGTAAACAACACATTCAAATCAAGGAGCCTGCAAATTTCCAACTTATGGGTCACAGGCCAGCAGAGCTGCAAAAGGGAGCCAAGGCCAAGGATCTTGGCCATGAAGAACTTGGGCACAAACTATGCAATTACACAAGCAAGAAACTGAACCTCCTGCCCCAGCAATACTGCCAACTGCCTTAGTCATGGCAAGCTTTCTCCACCCCCTTGATCCACTCTTCCATGTATGAGCCAGTGGGCCCCCTGGTTGCCTTGGAGGGAGGGAAATGGTGGCCAGCTAAGCGTAGGATCAGGAATATAAACATCCCTTGTGTGTTGTCCTCTCTGCCTGCATCGTACCCGTCTCAGTGGGGCTCCTGGAACAGGGCAGAACAGCCCCGGCTCCACTCCTTGGGCCACACCACCTCCTTGACAAGTTTGAACAGCGACTCACTGCAGTCCACAAGAGAGGACCATACCTGGAGTTAAAAACTGCAGTGCTGCCAGCTTCTGCAAGAGAAAGGAAGGCTACATATAGCTTAAGAGGGTGTCTTTCCAACATACACCATTCTTAATCATTGCTGAGCAGGCTGTGGGCAACACCAGCTTAGACAAACATGGTAGTGTGCACCACCATTTGAAATGTTTTGAAGGTTGTGTAGGAATTTCCTACTCATTTGAAATTGTGTCATTAAAACCACCTTCAATAACTGTATTGTGTCTGTGGGTCTGAGAACTCTCTTCTACCTGTCCTGTTTGCTGAATAAATAGGCATTTAGATTCCACAGTAGGGTGAATTAAAATTGTGACATTGACTCTGTAAAGATAAAATAAAAATAAGGGGCAGAGGTTAGCCCAAGGCATTTACTACAAATCAGTCATACACACTTTGAGGGTTCTTCACACCCAGTTTCAAATAAATCTGAAAATGTTCACTTCGGAACTTTCTGTTTGAAAGAAACCCTCTTCATGGCTAAAACAGCCTGGGCCAGCTCCTAGCCAAACACCCTGTGCAGCTCTCCCGTGCGCACAGCAGGTACAAAGCTGCCTGATGTTCAGCCTCCATCTCAGAGCACTGTGCCCCAGGAAATGCACTGGATTTGTCACAGAGCCTGAAGTGCTTTGTTTTCATGTGTGCAGACAACATGGCCACAGGTATAAGCAAATATTGTTGTCTTAAGCTATGTATTTCCAACTTTAAGAGGAAGATTTGGATGTTACACAAACCATACAGTTGCACCTCTCCTTCTTCTGACCCTCCTCACGTCCCCCTTCCCACACACAGATGCATACATACATGTGTCAGCCATTTGTTCCGATGGATTTAGCCTAGTTTGGATCAAAGCTTCCTCTAGTTCATTTAACAGATTTGCTCAGATGGAAGGTCTCAGGGGAGAAATGATGTTAGTAAGAGGGGGTTTTCAGCATTGAGTATGTAGGTCATTGGACTTTAAAATAAATTAGAGAATAGTTTATCTATTAAACAAGCCTCACAGTACATATTTCATGAAGCTATACTTAATTATAGGCTAATGTGCACCACAGAGCTACCATGAAGTAAGACTAAGCAGTGGCCCATAATGCAGTGATTAATACAATTATTAGCTGGCTGGCATACAGCATCTATTATTTCATACCATCGTGAGAAACAACAGACCTCCAGTTTCTAAGGCTGGCACTTCCTGTGAAATGTAACAAACCCAAACATTTCCAGAGAGAAACGCACAAGTCTGTACCTCCCAAGGAGAGGATCCTTGAGGCAGCAGGGGGAATGCAAGGTGGTGAGAGCAGACTTGAACTTCCACTTCAAGTGCCTTTTACAGAGTTTGCTTCTTCACCATGGGTGTGTGGGAACATCCCACATCTTCTACTGTGCAGCGCAAGGCTGGCTGCCTTCTTAATACCTCCAACAGTCTCTGACGTGAGGGGAGATTGATTTGAGTTGGAATTAAAAGCTGAGGACAGGGAAGCATAAATATGTACCTATGCTCTTTTGCTACAGTGATGGCTCCTAGGGACATGATGCAGTATATTTAAGATCCACCAGTCTTCTATATTAAGGCCCTGTAAACTAATGAAACACAGCTGTGAGATGAACAAATCTTTTATGGATGTTTAAGACTTGCCTGTTCTGGAATCAGTGTCATGGACTGTATAGTACATGATATTACTTGTGATGGAGGGCTAAAAAGTAAGTGATTTCTTTCCTTTTATGTAAAATTATGTGTCTGGTATCTTGTAATGAAGCGATCAAAATTGGGAAGATTTTTTTTTTTAAAGAAAAGCTAGAGAAGCTAGTGTATGCTAAGATAAAAGTCAGCAGACTGACAAAACCAGTGATACTAGTACACCCTGAATTACAGACCCCATTTTACATACTGAACTCAAATGCAAACTGGTCAGAGGACAGAGCATCACATCCCATTTCCAGGCGCAGTCCTGCACAGGAAAGGTGCTTGGCACCTTCTCAAAGGACATTACCTTGGCATGTCTGCTCAGGTCTGTGCTCCCAATGAGTGAGCCCGGTCTGAATGGTTACACACCTGGTGTCCTAAGTCATATAAGGCATTTGAAAATGCTGTCAGGTGTGACTGGCCCACAGTCACACTGCCAGGAGCCACTGAAGTTGGGAAGAAACCACATTTCACCCAAAGACCTGTTTAGTGTCCCAAAACCACTAGATCTATGCCAGAACACTGCAGGAGCTATAAAAAGAGAAAAAAAAAAACCACCACCCCCATCCCAAACCATACTGCAGCTGATTTAGTCCAGATTTCAGACTATCTGTCAAGAGTTGTGGCGCAATCTCTACTGTGGCTGCTAACAAACACCATAGATGGATGCAATGCTGTGCCATTGCTAAGAAAAAGCCAGCGTAGTCTCTCTCACATGCTTGCCTTTTCCCTGCTGTCCTAGAAAGTCAACCTGCAATGTCTGGTCAGTGATATGCAAGGCTTGGGGTTTCCTAGACACACAGCATCAAAACCTTGCCTCCTTTTAAATACTACAGCAGAACTGTAGATTTAACTCACAAGTTGTATGACAGCTTTCTCACTGGGGGATGAGCTTTTGGTTTAATGGCAGGCTTGGGCATTACCAAGCCGGCTCTCCCAGTCCGGCTGAAGCAGAGCTTCCTGTTCAGTGACAGTGGCAAAACCCTCACCAGCAACGTTACTGCTGACCTCTCGCTCAAGTTCAGAATATGTCATTCTGTCAATACCATCTACCTTGATTATACCAGGCTTTATATACAATGGGTTATGATCCCAGAGGGATGAAAAGCTTTTCCAAATTAAAAGCAGCATTTTAAAGAGGAAATACTCATGCATTCCTATGTAGTTTTCATTTGATATCCTCAAGGCTAACCCCAGAACTCAAAGTCACGTTGATTGGAAGTGAATGTTTTTTCTGAGTGCAGCCATCTTATGAATTTAATGGAAGAAGGGAAGTAATAAAAATGTGCTCCATACGTTAATTAGTTCCCTCATAACATGGCATTTCCAAAATGGCAGTGCCAAAGAAAATCATTAATCCAGGACAACAGACAAAGGCACTGTATGGGGCAAGGGACAGACCTCCAGGAGACACACTCATGTGGCCCTTGTTTTCTCTAGCTGGTAAAGCTTACCTCAAAGACCAACTCTGACTGCACAAAAGGAATTTGTACCGGTATTAAATATGAAGCCACTTTCCATTTCTTTAGCCTTGTTACAGAGTATCACAATTGAGAGATCATACTTTGAATGCCTTGAATGGTACCTGGCAGCAGGATAAATGGAAATGGCTTGTCTTTCTGAACACGCATTGACCCTGGGTACTCCAGGTGCTAGGCTTAAGCTGACACTATCATGCAATCATTTCAACATCTGCATTTCACTAGGCGAGTGAGAAAATCCGTGTCATATGTGTGAAAGCAAACACAATCTGCTGCAAATGCCAGACATCTTTCCCAGCAGTCAGTCTTTAGGCCTATGCACACTTGTCTTATACATTTCTTGTGGCAGTAGCCTCTGGCACTAGTTGTGGCATCAGTTGTACCACACGAAAGAACTGAGGAAATGACAGAAGCCCAAAGACACCTCTGACTCTCACAGCCTCTTGTTACCTCTTTCTGGCCATCAGGCAGGGGCAGATGTGGAAGTTTATAACCACAGAGAGGAACTGAGGGAAGAACGCACACGAGCAGAATTACTGCTAGAAAACAAAGCTCAGCTAATGGCACAAGGGTGACCAAATGCAAACGAACATCTGTTCCAGGAAGAAAGAGTCTTGTTCAATCCTGACAAAGAGACTGGGGGAAAAAAACGGAGGGTGGTTTGACCTGTTTCTATGGCACGCCTCCTGCCTTGATCTGCAACAATCATACAGCCCCACAAGAGCCACAACTTTGCCCCCTCGGCACTTCTTGGTTATAGAATAGAAATTGATACCTGTGTGCGGTTGAATGCTACTCTTGCAAAGACAGCTTGAGACACACTGGCTCTCTTCAGCTCATCTCTGACTTGCTGGTAAATATCTGGAGAGACTTCCACCGATGAATTTGATGGCTCTGGTTTGACAGCTCTAGGGATGGGTGGATGATTCAAGAACTGCTGGTTGATAGCTTGTGGGTGCTGGTGAGCCAATAGCCGGCTGACAGCAATCTGTTGGTTTATCAGATGGGCCATTGCTATCTGCTGCCTCACCAGTTGTGGACTGAGCTGAGGAGACAGGAGCCCAGGGTTTATCATTGTCTGCATCGTTGGCACTTGGTTTCGGATTGGAGTACTGTGGTGAATTTGGCCATGAGGAGACTGTTCGCTAGTTTTTCCCAAGGTTGCCAGCTGGTTGATATTTGGTAAGTGCATGGGACGTTGACCAAGAACACAATAGTC